CAGAATTTTGACTCTACTCTTCTGTACACTGTTTACATTCTTCCAAACCTTGCTCTCTTCTCTCCCAACTAAGTAAGCTCTAAGGACCATGCTTATATTTTCACTTTTTCTGATCGACAGATATGGGTGGGCACGCCAGCTGGCTGACCTTGGGAGATTAAACATTTGTTGTTCGAACGCCAAACCAAACAATTTCACGAGACTGATTTTCGAAATGAGCAACACAGGACTTAATTGTAATGCTTCCGATGAAATGAATCAACCTCTGACTGCGTTGGCCAAACAAAAACTTTCGTGTGGGTCCAAGTCAAGGTCAATCGACAAACTAAGCACGTATACTTATGGAAGTTAGGCAACAGTATCACAATTCAGAAACTCGTCGCTAAAGCTTTCAAAAACCTAAATAACCACGGAATTTGACCCTTACAGTAACTACATTCTAAATACAAGCGAAAAGCCAAATCACACCGATGTAACTGACTAACTAATTATAAACTAAATACTTCATAACACGCCTCCCTTCTCAGAGTGCGCATCGTCCTCGATGCTCCTAAAAACATTAAGAAACGATCGAAACTTACCATTAGAAAAAACACTTATAAAATAATCTATTTACTTTGCAGTGACAATCATTGTTTGTCCAAATTGTTGAACTGCTTGTATACGCTCTTGCATTTCATGAAATTTTTCTGTTGTGATCGGTGACAACGGTGTACAAAAGTCTAAAACCTGAATGACCAATGCTTAACTACATTATTTTTTGTTTGATTGTTGCATGATAATAAAAGGGTTCACTTATCGAGTACTTATTAGCAATAAATTTTAAATTAACTGACTGAAAACGAGCAGTCCCTCTTTTTCGGACAAGGTGATGCACCAGACTTCCCTCCTAGAGTTCACACCCAGTGTTTACTCCCAGAGTTCACTCTCACATTTCACTCCCACAGCGACGTGCGGCTCGCAAACATCAATTTTTTTTTTCGATTCGCGCGATGGACTTCACCGAGGAGAGAATGCTGATAAAAACATACATTCAGCCAAAATTCTGAAAAGATTGATCCTGTGGAAAACCGGTCGAACCCACAAATCACGATAGAAAGAAAAATCACCACTGTTTTTTTTTTTTTTTTTCTTAAAGCAAAATTGAAATCTATCACTGTTCCCCTACACTGCCATCTGTTCCAGACATAAACCGCATGAAGAGACCACAGACCACACCACCTGTACCTTTTCCTTCCTTCGAAGAGGAAACGTCTGTACGAAAAAATCAATGTTTGTATGAATGATATTTTTATAGAAACCATCTTGTTGTTGTTTTAACGTAGTCAATTTTCTCGCGCAAGACTCAAAAGGGGATCCGCGCAACGACAAAAAAGCGATAAAATCGATACTGATAAGCTGGTAAGTCAAAAAAACAACATCAGAAAACAAGAACACCTTTAGTGTCATTCATTTGTAATTTGTAGTCTAATCGTCCTTGTAAGACTAGTCCCGAGAAGGTAATTTGGTTATATCAACTAAATTGAAATTGTAAATTGGCCACCGCAACGAATACAAAAGCTGACGTTTCGAGCGTTAGCCCTTCGTCGTTAGCTTTGGTAGTCTCCTTCGCAGCTGTTGTTTGGGCTCGTCACGCAACGGCTGCGAAGAAGACTGGCCTCTGTCATGCATAGCATAGCAGCTCAAATCTTAAATAACAGCGTTGTGTGGGGGGAAGGAGTGGAGTGCACAAACCCAACCTTTACAACGAGGTATTGCAAAGCCAAAGCTCTGGGAAAACATTTTAATTGAGTCCATAGAAGGTAAATGCTTTACTAAAACCTTCGCTCAACTCTGCCAGTATTTAGTGTTCACTGAACGATCTAATTAAATTTAAATCAGCCTAGTAACTGTTGTTGACTGTTAAACCCGAGCTCTGTTTGCAAAAAGAATCGGAAGAGTTGGCGAAGTTGACCTAGAAATTGAAGCGAAACTTGAGAAAAATTGTTTTTGATTATTTTTACGTAAAAGATATATGGACGATACTGTCGTAAACAACAAGTCCTATTTCGATTATAACGGAAAGTGTTAATTAGCTAGGGTAAGGGTAAAACAATAAGCGCCTTGCCGAAATACCCGAAGCTATTCACATTTGTGCCAGGTATAGCTGTGTACACGAAAACCAGTCCACCCACTTCAGCGCAATTTTGCGTTTGTATTTTAATGTATTTCGCTCGAAGCAAATGATGATTCAGTTTAACATGCAAAAGCTAAGCCCGCGCCCGCGTTGCACATTTGAAATGATGTCTTACAATCTGCAGATATCGATGTTCACATGGGAAGCTTTAATTTGGCAGGTCCGCTATATTACAAATTAAAAAATTACGTTTGCTGTTAATATCACCAAAACCGCAAAGTTTACTTTTGCTTCTGCTCACTTTTCTTCTAATCCTTAGATGGATCCTAAAGAAAAGAGGAAAATATATAATTTATCTCCATTAATGCAACTATTTCGACATTGCAAAAACGGCACGGAAGGTTAGCTAGACCTCATGTACTTGTTAGCGGCCGCTCAAACCGTATGATTTCCCCATGATTGTAAGCAAGGATTGTGTGCTGTGGCCTGTTATATGTTTCTTTGTCTGACCTGTAAAGCTATATAACAAGTGAACTCCGAGTATCTTGGTAAACAAGAATTTTCAAAGCAAAATAACTGAAATTATATTACGTTTTGTAGTTGTCACATATTAATTTTAAGAACCAGATTAACTAGACACATACCCCTCATTCAAGAATTATTCCATTGCTTCTTGGCTGTGATGAGGGTGAATTTCCACCCCACTTTGAGTTCACTAGCTGTGGCCTTGCTGATGAACCCAAAAGGGAAGTGTCTTAATTTCTCTGTTTTGAAGCTTATTGTCTACTGTGATGTACTGTCTTCTACAATGTTTTGACCAAGACATAAACCAATAAAGTAAGACCTATGGACTATCTCTATGGCAGTGTGTTTGACGTCAGCAGTGCTATTTGTTAGGCGATTCTCTGTTTCTAGGAACTACTATGAGGAAACAACTTTATTATTCATGAAACAATTGAATATCGGAGCAAACGCACAGTCCTGATGATCAGTCCTTGGTGTTTATGCCAATTACAATATTGTCTCACAGAAATTATATTCTTTGTGAATCAAGTAGCTGACACTGACCAAAATAAATCTAGTGAGACATCTGTCAAATTCATTGAAAAATATGCCCTATAGATCACACACAACTGCAACTCCTGACTATCACATTTGTGTGATATTATGAGATTAAGATACTTAATGACAGCAGAAACATAATAAGATGCACAACTACTGAATTTTTGTCTTTGTAATTGATACAACAGTCTTAAATGTTTCTGGGTCATTTCACATGATGAACAGTGCATTAGTTTAAAAGGGAAAAATAAAACAAAGCAATACACTACATCCTACCTAGATTGAAAAATCAATGACGATATTGTTTTTTGTTAGAAAATGCAATTAGTACAACTAGCAAAGACAGGAATTGCACATTCTATGCTTCAGTGGATATTTTCTAGTGGTACCAAAGAAGTGTAACAGTGACATGGCATCATAAACAGATGATTTTATAGACTTTTTGAAGCATAGGCCTGGGTTGCACTAGGGCTTTTTTTGTTTGTTTAAGCAAAAAATATGTTGACAGGAAACATAAAATAAGAGCAACCTCCAATTTGAAAAGCTTGCCAAATTTTTGCAAATCACCAAATTTTTGTCAATCTTCAAAGGATCCAATGTCCTGCCTCAGAGACCTCCAAATTTTGGCAAAGCAAACACTCATGTTTTTTTTTTAACCGTTTAGCTTTCATGATATGCAAGATGAGTCCACTAGTCTAGTTTGGTGGGCAATGGCAGTATCTGACCCTTTTTCATTGGAGGAGAACAAATTTGAGTTCCTTTGGCAGCAACTTGGTGAACAGAATTTGCTTGAACAAGAAATTGTCTTACCTTTGCTAGTATTAAAGCATGATTAAGTGGCACAAGTGTTAATCAAAATGCAAAAGATCAGCAGGACTAAGGGATCAGTTCCTCTGTAGCAATTTGCACAACTGTTTTTTTTCTATGTTAAGAGTGTAAAGGTACGTGATTGACATACAAATCAATTAGAAAAGTTTCAGGCAAAGTATCTTAGTTTGATGCAACTGCTGCCAAAATGTGGAAGTATAAAAATTTTTGATCAAAAACAATTTTGCAAAAATAATGTTTACAAATTGACGACAATTTTTGTTTGTGTCCACCAACATGTTCATGGAGGTGGCAAACATAACTCGAACTTAATTACCACCTTGTCTTTCAGAACAATTTCATGTGCTTTAACTAAATGTCCTAACAAATTTGATCGACTAATTAAGGAGTTGCTTTTTTTTAAGAAAACTTAAACCATCCCTAAACATGCAAACGGACTTGATTCACGCAAAGTTATTCACTTGAACAATCTGTGATCCTTTGTTATCATGCTAATATGTAGAGACCATAGAAATCAAATCTTTGCATTATTTATTCACTTTGCCTTGAGAATGGTGTCATGATGACACTGAAGCGTCAGCTCTTAACATTAATATCCGCTTGCTTATATAAAAATTTTGCCAATATTTGGTTTGTGAAAAATTTGGAAAATATTTGAATTTGCTCTAGTGTGACACAGCCCTTATATAGACACAGAAGGATGTGTTTGAGAAGCAAATTTAGAGCTGTGTTGACTGCAGGAGAAATAATTTAATGCCAAGATTGATTTTAAATCCTGTGTGCATCTTTAACTTGATTTTTTCTTCGTTAAAGGATGTGAGATAAGTGACATTTGTTATCATCTTGAACAATCAAACTGTATTGAAGGGTACTATAAATAGCAGTCACCTTGTATTAAGCATTCAGTTGTCAAAGTCTTGAAATTTTTTGCTTCAATTTAATTAATCACCTCTATTATGGTCATGGTCACACTTGATTGAGTCTCAACCGCCTGTGTGGATCAACTTCCACCTGTATTTAATTGTCACTTAAAACAGAGTCACTCACATTAAACTATAAGACTGATCTCTCAAGTAAAATTTACTCCATGTTTTTCATGCTAAATCAATTTCAGTAGTTTCAGTTGAAATGTGCTCATTGCCTTGCAGACTATCTTTTTCCTCAAAAGCATTAGGTCAAATATTACACACAAACTTCACACAAGTCATTTGTGATAGCTAAGATTTAGAGGTCCAACTGTTATTTAATGGTTTTCAGTAATTCTGCTGTATTGTTCTCTTTTTGTGCTGTTAAGCCACAGTTTTGTTGTTTTCTACCAACCAAGAATCCATGCATTTTCAGCAAGCTTTTGAATTTAAACCATATGTTAGGTGACCAATTTTGGCTTATAAATTGCCTTTTTTTTTCATCACACTTGACCCATTTTCTGTGGAACCTGTCTTAAGAAGTCATCCCACCATTTCCTGTTGGTGAATGAGCATAATAAGTTCAACTGTATTTTCCCTGAGAAGTATAATTTATGTAGCTTTATATTGCCTGTAAATTGGAAAGTTATTTTTGAAATTTTTTGTCTGAATCAAACATTAGAAAATTTTATAAAACTATTTTCCTCTTTGTTGACACGACCCCTTGGTAAGCTGGAGGAAACATTTTTATACCAAACAATGCTCTTTCTGAAATGGACTCCATGGTTTTTTTTAATTCTTTTGAGTCACAATGTTGATTCATTTGCCGGTTGATTGGCCACCCTCCTGTTAATCTCAATACATTTAAAGTGCACTTAAACCCAAAAATTTCTTTCCACTTAACGAAATAAGTGTATTTTTGGGGGTATTTCTGTGCAAAAATCTTTGTATTTGCTCAAATCTTCAATTTTCTGTGCCCAGTCAAAATACGGAAAATCAGCCGCCATCTAATGGGTCACAACCGAGTTTATAAAGAGGAATGGTTCTGGTAATGTGACGTCAAATCAAGAACACGAAAGTCTGCATTTCACACATTTTCACTTGTTTGGGAAGGTTTTTGTCGATATTGTCCAAAATATGCCGACTAACTGTGTTGTATGAGGAATGTATGAAGCACGATACGTACAGGCTCTTGCAAATTTCGTATGTTTCTACATCCTCCTACAACACACTTAGTCGGCATATTTTCCGACAACATCGACCACAACCTTCCCAAACAAGTGAAAATGAGTGAAATGCAGACTATCATGTTCTCGATTTGACGTCACATTACCTGCTAGAACCATTCCTCTTTGAACTCAGTCATAAGCCAAGATGGCGGCTGATTTTCCGTATTTTGACTGGACACAGAAAATTGAAGATTTGAGCAAATAAAAAAATTCTTGCACAGAAATACTCCAAAAAATACACTTATTTCGTTAAGCGAAAAATTTTCGGGTATAGGTGCACTTTAAATTTTTTTTGCATCGATTTGAATTTGAAAGTTGTTGATTTCCAGCTGTACTTTAGTTCATTCAAAAAACTAAGATAATATTACTGCATATATTTTACATAGTACTGTGCACCTATCAGAAAGATTTAAAAAAATTTTTATTTTATATTCGATTAAACATTTTCTTCATGTACAGTTTGATTACACATAACTATTCTCAATTTGATATTGAAGTTGGATTCTGTGGGAAGCTTGTTATTAGAATGACTTGACCCACTGTTTAGATGTAGTACAGCTGTAGTAGTACAATATAATTTGAATATATCAACAAAGTTGAAATGGTAAATTGGCCACTGTTACAATTATAAAAGCTGACGTTTCGAGCGTTAGCCCTTCATTGGAGTGAATACAGGAATTGTGGGTTGTGTGTGCTTTTAAAGGCAGAAAAAGGAGCTACGTGACTGGTGGGAACATGGCAACAAGAAAAACACGAATAAATTAGTGGAATGAAAAGCGTTCGTTGATGCCTGGGGGGATTTAGACTGCCAGTTTATTACAACCCTGGGTGGTCATTTGTCTATATTTTTTGCTTTAATAGTCATCACCCACTCTTTGCAAGTTCACATCAGCCTTCGTGCAGGGTAGTTATACTAAAACAAGGAATTACCTGGAAAGAGCTGGAATGAGCCGGAATGAGCTGGAATGAACCAGAACGAGCTGGAATGAGCCGGAATGAGCTGGAATGAACCAGAACGAGCTGGAATGACCAAGAATGACCCAAGAATGATCCATAAAAGTGATTTCCGATTGAATTTGTCTCCATATACTTGATTTTAACTTGTTAAACAAACTCTTTACATCCTTCCACCATTTTCTCATTCAGTTCGAAAAGGCTGATGCGATATTAGCCACAGGAAGCCTGATAAAATATTTCTAATGCAAATGACCTCATAGGGCATTATGACAAACACTGACTGTGAGGTGTTGTTGTTGTTGGTGTAAGCTTGAAAAAAAAATGCAGAATAGTTCATGTCAAAGCCAACTGAAGTACATTTTCAGCAAAAACTTTGGAAATTCCAGTTCATTTCTTATTAAAATCCACGAATACTCGCACCATTCCACGTCACAATTTTCCACTAGAATTCAACTCGGCCGCCAGCATGAAATATTGTATCGGACTTCCTGTGGCTACTATCCCATCAGCCTTTTTGAACTGAGTGAGAAAATGGTGGAAGGATGTAAAGAGTTTGTTTAGCAAGTTAAAATCAAGTATATGGAGACAAATTCAATCGAAAATCATTTTTATGGATCATTCTTGGTCATTCTTGATTTCCAGCTTGTTCTGGATCATTCCAGCTCATTCTGGCTCATTCCAGCTCTTTCCAGGTAATTCCTTGTTTTAGTAACTATACCCTTTGTGCAGCCTACTATAGTAACACAATAGTTTTAGTTATACAGTTGTAACTGTGTGAATCAACAACCTAAATAAAAAAAAAATAGTATCGATTGAATGATTGTTATTGTGTGTTGACAATAACTTTATTAAGGCCATTTTTTTTCTCATTTCACAGAAGCGGTTACACGCTATCTAACCTTGTTTAATTTGTTTCTCTTTTTCCTACGTATTTCAGGCGCATAAGGAAAGTGAATCATTAATTACAGGACAATCCTGATATTCTTGAAACAATGGTACTTCCTCCTGAACATCTTATGTACTCCAGCCTTGTTGCCATTGAACGTCATGTGGAAAAAATCTTGTATTTTTTATGGAAGAACATGGATAGTACTCAAATTTTTAAAAATTTTCTTCTTCCAATAAATGGAAACAAGGTAGAATTATGTGGTGGTGCATGTCAGTCTTGCAAGGAACTGGACTCTATAGATCCATATGAAGCCATTCTTGAAGCAGAAGTGGATGGGTGCTCTTTATTTGAGAGACTCGTTAATCTTCCTCTCAAAGGAGAATTTCATGAAAACATTAAAAGCCCCTCTGGAAATTCAGCTGAGACAATAGCTTTAGCAGTAGATCAGCTGCGTTTACTAAGAAATGAAATTAAAAGTATAAAAACTGAAATGATCGATAAGAAAAACTTTGATTACTTTGTAAAACTGACAAGAGAGGCCTTAGATGCACTGAAACAAGATACCTCAGCAATCGATAAGGTTATTCTGCTTAGTGAAAAAGATTTTCCTGTAGATAAGGTTCAACCATTACAAAACAGTTTGGAGACAGAAAACTGTGGTGCTAAACAGTTTGAGCAGATTGACCACTGCTCAAATGAATTCAAATCTGAAGGTGATTTATCAGCCCCTCATTCCATTGATAAAGAGCAACTTAACAAATCTTTGCTATCAGCAGTTGGATCAGCATCATCTCTAAACTCATGTCCTTCAAGTCCACATGAAAAGCCAGATTCTCTCCCAAGGGTATCACCATTTGCAAGTGAAGAGGTATCCACTGAGTTGACAGAAAATGCTTATCAAGAAGAATATGCTTGTTCTAAGCCTTTGTTTGATAGTTCAGCAAGGTTACAGGCAGACTGTGATGGTAAGTCAAGAAATGAAGAAGGTTTAATGTTAAAGGATAGTCTTCATGATACAGAAACAATGGCTTTGGAAGATGGTGTTGATCAAAGGGACCAAGAGTGCAAACAAAGTAAACAGTTCACATGCACATGCCCATTCTATCAGAGAAGGGAGAAGGAGTTGCATGATACAAAAGCATTATATGTAGAACATCTAAAACAGTCCCAAGATGAGATTACATTCTATCAGGATCTTTGTCGTAAACAAGAGGAAGAAATCATGCAGTTGAAAGAGTATGTGACTCAAATCAAAGAAGAAATACAAGGACTTCAAGCTGAGGTGGGAAGACAGCTGTTTCTTGAAGGCAAAAATAAACGTTACACCAAGATTTATCAGCCATTTTCTAAACATGGTGGTGAGCAGATTAAACCCAGTACAGTCAGAGGTGCCTCTTTTGATTTGGATGGGAAAGAAATTGATACAGCATTTCCTTTTGACAATTCAGGTACAATTTAATTTATGTCGGAGAAACTTTGTGTATGGTACAGAATGTAATTTTTTTAACCAAAAGCTTGACTACTGTGTTGTTACTTGAAAAAATTCATAATATCTCAATGTTCTTTAAAAACTTTTTGAGTTAGCCCTGTTAAAAATAGAGAGTAGCTAAGTTGAAGGTTTTTTCCAAATCTCTTTTCAGTTCCCATGCTCCAATGCACTAATTTAGGTTCCTTTGAAGATTCCTAAAGTGTACAGTAGTTTAGGGCTGATCTTTAGGACCCTGTTTTTAATCTTTAATTCAGTATGATGGCTTTGATAAGGTGCATAACCATGAAGAGTAGCAAATTTGGGGGGGGGGGGGTCCAACTCTGTTTCATGCACACATTTTTTAGAAAACTTCATTCATGACATGGACTCCTTTAAACAGTATTTCACATGTCAAATTCAAGTGGGAAAACTGCAAATCTCAGTAAACCGTGCCTTTCTAAAATTCTCACATTGCCTATTAATTTTGGGCTTAATTGTGCATTATCCATATATTCTTTGCTTACCTCAATGGGGAAATGAGTACACTTGAACATCTGTTAACACTACTCAATGCTATTATAAGCACTATTCATACTATTTAACATTATTCAATACCATTTGAATATGTGAACACCATTCAAAATGTTTCATTGGTGTAAGATTGTCCACGTCAATCCTGAATTTTTTATGGGTATTGCATGTATAGTAACTGCCATTGTACCTGTTATGTTTATTATACAATTCTTCTTTCTGCAGGTCTTCTTCTGGAATATATTACTGAAGAGGTATCAGAACTACTATCAAAATCAGAGGTTTTCAGAATTAAGTTGCTTGTTGGACCAAAAGTTGATAGTGACAGACTTGCTAGGATTAGGAAAGGTTCTGAATTATTTAAAGAATTGAAATACAAAGGAGAGTTGTCATGTTTTTATGTTAAATGTCTTCTGGAAAAAATCCATCGTTATGACCTTGTTGAGAAACTTATTACTCATTTTCACAACAGTGATGAATTATTTACAAGAGAGTGCCATTCACCTCAAGAAAGAAATCAGGGCTATGAAGCATCTGAAAGAATTTGTGGCATAGATGAGAGAACTTCAAATGAAGTGGAAAAAAGTGGAGAAATTTCTGAAAGTGCTGATATTGATGAAAAGTTCCATTTTGGCAACCCTTCTGGTGGAAACTTTTGTGATAGTGGTGATAGCCCAACTTCCTCTCCTAATCCAGTTAATTCAAATAACTCAAGTTCTTTGGTAGATATTAATTATGCTGATTCATCAAGTGGAAGGTGTGGTTTGGCTTCAAGCTGTTCACAGTGTACATCCAGCTCTGCTGTGTATGTGGAATCTTTGACTGAGGATTCACTCTGTGGTGCACCAACAGTCAGCTTAAATTCTGATCATCATGCTTTGAAGGCATGGGAAAATTCTTGTGATACAACAAGTGGTGGAGAGGAGAAGCAAGAAAGGTCTGTGTCTTTATCACTGACGGATCAAAGTTTTGCAAGTGTAGAAGTGAAAGAATGGGGTGCTGCTAAAGTGGAAGGAGGAAAAGAAGACTTAAATAGCTCCAGTAGCATCTGTGATGGTGCAGTAAATGGATCCTATTTGGTTCAGCACTGTAATACTGTGGACATCATTGATGGTCCTGGTTGTTCTTCGAGTAGAGCCCAAGATAGTTTTAAGCTAAAAAATGTATCAGGTATAGGTCAAGATTTTCTCTCATCTGAAAGCATGCCCAAGAAGCAAAATGTATCACACACAATGATCTCTTCGCCAAAGGGTGCAGTTCATGTTCTGTCTGATTCTTGTGCAAGCAATCAGTTTAATACATGGGAGCATGTAGGGGCTAGATCAAAGAATGCAACTCAGATGCAAAGTGTTTCATATACAAGGATCACTCCTCAAAAAGACTCAGCTGTAGATAAGGCTGATTCTTATGTTAGCAATCAGTCACATAAATGGGAGCATTTAGGGGCCAGACCAAGAGACAGAACCCCAAAAAAGGACAGTACTTCAGATTCTTCTTCACTTTTCTCCTCATTGGTTGACCTGGTTCCCCAACAAGTTGGGGAACCTGTGGTCCAGGGAGTGGTTAACGCATTCTTGGCAAGACACTCTGAAGACAAACATCTTCATGAAAGTCTGTATTACAACAATGCAGAGGAGATGTTGGCTAAGGATATGGATAGCATGATGAACATGATTGACCCCAACAAAGCAAAACCATACCTTTGTGACTGCCAGGTTGCTACAAGGTCAGATCCATTTTACCAACCATATTCTTCCATATTTCCTCTGAATAGTGAAGCATATACCAGAGTAAATGATGAAGATGGCCTCCCTTTAAGTGGCGCTTTAAATGGTGATTATTTACCTCCACCTGGACCCTCATACAGTTGTATTGGAGCTAATACAAGCCAAAACAGTTATTTCAACTCATTCAATCCTACTGTCTCGGGTGGTGACTTTTCAATTAACACAAGAGAACCTCAACTACTCCAAGATGGTCATTTTACATCTTTTCAAAGGAGTGGTTTTCTGCAGCCAGGGTTTGCTGGTTCAGGATTGACCTCTGGCTTTCTGGGAACTACAGGACCTCAAATGCCACATTCCAATACTCAGAGTACTTTTGGATTCACTGAAACAACATCAGAGCCTTTGCAAATGCAAAGATCCTCAACCACAAATTTAGAATTACTGGTAACCTCACCAGGTAATACTCAAATTTATGGTAACCAACAAAATGTATCTTCAGTGGCAAGGGCTGAGGGATCTGACAGCGAATGTTCATCAGGCTTAGAATCTGGTAGAAATACTCATTTGTCAGCAGTCTCGCTAATTGGGAATGGTGTGAATTCATCTGGACAAAGGAACTTAAGCAGCATATCAAACACAGTTGGCAATCATTTGGCCTCTGGAACCTTTAGAGAAGTAGATAGAACTAGTAATTCTTCAAGCTCTGGCTTAACATCTGGTGCTAATGCAGGAGGAGATCATGATCAAAGTTTTGGCCAGTCTGGAGGTTCAGTACCAAATGGAAATTATGGCACTGAATCAGTGGAGTCAACTGACAACTCCTTGCTTGAATTGGAACAGCGTGTGGAGGAGGCATGTGCTATGGTGGAAAGAGTACTTAGGGAAAGAGAAGAAAGAGAAGAGTTTGGTAGAGAAATTGAGAGAAAAGAGCGTGAAATACGAGCAGAAAGAGCACGGAAGAAGAGAGAAAGAGAGGCAAGAGAGCTAGAGGAAACCAGAGGATGGCCTCAACAGCAGGAACCAGTAACTGGACAGTCTTTGTGGCTCTGTGAACATTACCAACGTCATTGTAGAGTACGTTTTCCTTGCTGTACCAACTTCTATTCCTGTCACCGTTGCCATAACAACTCTAAAGAATGTGACAATGAGGAAGCTAAAGCGAGTCATGCGACTCACCTTAAGTGCAACTATTGTCATCATGAACAAGAGGTACTTGAATACTTTTTACATCATTTTACATCATGATCATTGACTGTATAAAATTATTTTTATTTCTTTCACTTTTGTGAAAATTTACTTCAGACCAGACATGTGCACTGTAGTCCATAAACATGGAGGGATAAAGACATTATTTCTTGCTACTTGTATATGACTGCCAACAATAGGCTGTGAAATTTGCAACTAAAATTGGTGTCAAATCGGGGCAAAAATGTCTTCATTTTGCCATGTTTGCTAAAGAAACAAAAGTGATGGAGTAATGAGGTAATTTATGTCACAAACTCTGTAGTCATCATTCAAGCTGATACAATAAGTAAATACTAACAGTACAATTTGGTTTTTAAGTCGAGGCAAATGATTTCCCAATCACCAATAACAGCAAGTTTTTCATCTCTTTTCAGATTGCTGAAGACAGTGCCAAATGTCGTAGCTGTGGAGCAAAAATGTCGGCATATTTCTGTGGAATCTGCAAACATTTCACCAGCATAGACAAAAACCCTTATCACTGTGATAAATGTGGGATATGCAGGTAAGTTCCCTATGCAACAAAATTTAAGAGAAACACTCTTTCATCATGTTGGCCACAACTGTTTATCCCAAACTCATATGTGGAAGTTCATTGTAAAATGGCTGTGTTGACTGAGAGTAATTAGCTGCCTCACTTTCACTGTGCCCTAGATGGAATATTGACTTTTTCACTAGCCCCAGATGGAATATTGACTAGAAAATCCCTGAAAGGTACATGTAGGGGTAATCCTTTAAATTACAGATACCAGTCACTCACATGTAGGACTGAAAGACAACAACCACAAAAACTGCTCTTAAACACTAGGATCTATGTGAAATTTAGTTAACCCACACTTTTGACAATGGCTACTGACTTAGCATACCTGTCAAGCTCCAAATAGTTGACCTTGTTAACATAATCATATTACAGTCACTTTTTGCATATCTATTAACTGAAAACAACTGCTGTAGGAAATATTGATTGATTTGTTTTTGTGTTTTTAGGATACATAAAGACAAGTCATTTCATTGTGATGTGTGTAATGTATGCCTTGACAAACGGCTTCAAGGGAAACACAAGTGCAGACCCGACTCTGGCCATGATGAATGCTGCATCTGTCTAGAGGTGAGCTGTTAACCTGAATGAAGATGTGTTGTTTCATTATCTTGTTTTTCATTTTTCATACCATTTGTATACAGTCGACTCCCGATAACTCGAACATCTCGCTTAAACTCAAACCAAAATCGATTTCCCATGGATTTCCATCCTACATTCACTGTAATTTTACCCTCGGTAACTCGAACCCTCAATATTAACTCGAACCAATTTTCGTTTCCCTTCAGGTCATTTTCTATATGATTTTACCCTCGATAACTCGAACCGTGTCTGTCAATACGTGATAAGTCAAAACACTGTTGTCCAAAACCTTAAATTTATTTTGAAGCACCATTGCGAACTGAATTCCTGGGAATTCCTAGGAATTCTCAAAAATTCTCAACTATGCAAATAAGCTCTGATATGAAAAGCTTGGAATTACTGGGAATTTCTGGGAAAGGAAAGTTCCAGTTTTGTGAGGAATTCTCAATCATTTTCAACTATGCAAACAAGCTCTGATTTGAAAAGCTTGGAATTACTGGGAATTTATGGGAAAGGAAGGTTCCAGTTTTGTGAGGACTTGGAATTCTCAGCTATACATACTTAGTAAGGGTGGAATTCTTGGGAATTTCTGAGAATTGAATTTGAGGCGAATTAAATAACCCTGAAATCTAAATAATTCCAAGAAATTCTCAATACCTTGAATGTGAAGGTTTTAAGACAAGGAGTAATTTTAGAGGCTTAAAACTGGTTCAATAAAAGATATGCTAAACAAAATATACCAGGACTGAGATGTATATACACCTGTACCTGACTTGTTTATCGTGAAATTTATTATTTAAACTAAGTTTTAGTAAATCTTAACATTAATATGCATTTTTTCTTAAAGCAGCAGTCAGTTACATTGAGTGCAAATTGTCAATTTAAATTCCAATGTACTCATATCACAGATTTGCTTTCTAACCTCAAAGGCCTCTTGGATTCCAGTCATAAAAGTTTTTATTGTGATGCAAAATGTCTCATGTCCGGAGATGTGCCAAAATCATAATGCATATACACATAATCAGCATGGGTCAATGCTGAACGCTTGTTACGGTCCAACTTCGTTGATTTAGGTACTGGTACACTGTGATCATCTTGGTAGCTGTTATACTTCCTAAGGTGGTATCCATCTGTCATAATAGTGAGGGTAAAGCACGTTTGTAATCACATTCAAAATAATTAATACTGTAGTGATTTTCTTCTGTTGTTTCTCACCTTTGCCGTGAACACAACTTAAGTCAGGGTTTCGAGTCTTTGTTTCCTCGACAGCTTTCGGCCACAAATCTTGCATTTGTAGTATGTTCGATTCTTCTCGATTATTTCTACGTAGAGTGAGTTCACATCATTACTTAGATCATCTTCAGAACATGGATCCAAGGTAAAACCATCGTCAACATCGTCTATCAGTCAAAACTTGCGCGTACTCTTACGACTGCAATCAGACTCTTTACAAGCCAATGACAATTCCCAAAATATCCACGTGATCATATCTGTAATTCGAAACAAAGAAAATTCCACTTGGCGCTGATCTTTGAATGTACTTTTCATCCGTTGGTCGTTCGTGCTTTAAGTTATTTCTTTTCTCGACTGTTTTGCAAAAGATGGGTTTTACCGTTGTTCAATGGGAAAACAAGAATAGCGCGTGTGTTTTATTTAGTGAAAAGCAAGACATTGGCGCCGTGAAGTTAAATGAAGGGACAACGTAACAGTAATATCGACTGGCCGGTACAAGGGTCGAGCGGCCATTTATAATTTAAGCTACAGTTTCTGAAAGGTTGTGGTGAGTACAAATTGCGATATTTGGCGTAATCAAACCTGAGAATCGAATTGGTCACATGCATGCCACAGTTTCTTAAGCTTAAGCTTTACAATGAAATAAATCTATCAGTAGGCTAAAGGTTTCAGGATTATTTTAGTTGCGTTTGGAAATTGGAATGCTGCGAGCCCAGCAGAAAAAGACAAACAGCTGCTTAGTCTGCAGTTTGGGATACCTTCATTCCAATTAATTATTACAGTAACAACAAGAATTTAATTTAAAAAAATCAATTATTTAACTGTAATTAAGCCCTTCACTCCCAAGGGTGTTCAGTCAAAATTGAGAAGAAATCTCTCAATTTCAACTTGGAGAATCAACAAAAACAAAAAACATAGCATGAAGATGCTGCTTGACAGCTTACATTTGAATTTTAACACACATGAGTTTTATCCAAAGAAGTTACAGCCACATTAAATTAAGTCAAAGCCTGACTCAGGGAGGAAAGGATAAAATCTTATTTGTATCATCATCCCAAATTAAATGATTCCTTTCAAGACTATTTTTTGACCGAGAGTATTTATTGCAATAAACATTATATACCCAAGTTATTGCATTTCATGAAAAAGAATCAACAGATTTTATTCACAATTTGTGTCAAACCAAATTTACTGATTCACTAGGACTATTTTAAAAGAAAAGCTGTAATTGAGGAAAATTTTTACGAAGTTTTCAAGAAAAGAAAAAGAAATTTCATCCTAAGATTACCACGTGTTGATGTTAATATACAAAAGCAAACAAATAACATGTAAACCTGAATTAAGCATGTAAATAAATTTCATTGACTACTTGAATTTATAGTTGGGAGTTAATGCATGTATTTATTTCATATTAGTTGCCTTGAAGTATCCTTAAAATCCCAGTAATTCTTAAACATTCCTAGAATTTTCTAAAAATTCCTTGGAATTTCCAGCAAGTTTTAAGATTCACAGTATTTTAGGGAAGTCATTGGTGCTTTGAGTTGGAATTCCTAGGGATTCCCAGAAATTCCTCGGTTTTCCTAGGCCTAGGAATTTCCAGGAATTCCTAGGAATTCCAAGTCCTGTTGTCTTATGAATGTGGAATTTTTGGGAATTTCTAGGTTTTTTCCGGAATTTCTAGGTTTTTTGGGAATTCCTAGGAATTCCCGGTTCGAATTTACTGTGAAAATTCACACCTCTTATTCCCAGTAATTCCTAGGATTATCCTAGGAATTCCAAGATCCGTTTCGCAAGAGAGCGGTGTGAACTGTTTCCTTTCTTTTACATTACACAAAACGTGTCAGTTCAGTTCTAGTTCCACTGGTTTTCACAAAGTGTTGCTTCCTAAGTCATTTTTAAATCGCATGAGGTTATTTGTACTGGTGGCCTGACATTGTTCTCTTAAAAAAAAAACCCTGAGTGTACAGTTCGCAGTTACTGGACCTCTCCCTCTGCATTCCTTTGTTATATTTTTCACATTACGTTACGTTCCAATTTATACAGTAATTTAGATATGTATTCTCTTTTTTCACTGAGCTTCTCTATACTGTAATAAAATTTGATTAAAATGTACACTGCATATAAAGAAAAACATTTAACACCTTTCTTCCCCTTATTTCTGGTCATTTTTGCTCAAATCCCAATAACTGGAATTCCCGATAACTCGAACCTTTTTCAAATTCCCTTGAAGGTTCAAGTTATCGGGAGTCGACTATAGTTTGAACCTTTTTCACCACAAGATAAAATCCTGTGAACACAACAAACTTTTCTACCCACAAATATTTCTATACTCACACATTCTCACCTTACTGGTACATTGTATTGTGAATTTCTTAACTTTTTGTTGAGATAATTATTCTCTCATTGTTCTCATTCATTTTGTTGTTGTTTTTCTAGGATGCATTTAGTGGGTGTCAAATTTTACCTTGCTCCCACAAAGTCCATCGGGAATGTGCAATAGCAATGATACAGAATGGAATGTGAGTAGCTTCTTGCCTCTGATTTTTGAGTCCCACTTGTGATTATCCTTTGCTTTGTTTTGATCATGTTCCTGCTTTTTCTTTGTGTTAATTCTTCTTAGAGGAGGAAAACTAATGTTGCTTGAAAGTGAGTTGGGATCAGAACAAAAGCTTTATGTGATGTTGTACCTTATGTTGTACAGCATTACCGTATTTGTTTGATTAAGCACCCAACCTTGAATAAGTGCCCACCCTGAGGGTAGAAAAAGCTAGTAAGTGCCCAGTCTTGAATATTAGCACCCACCCCTACACACCCCACCCCCAAAAAGTACTTTTTAAGCGCCCAACCTTGAATAAGTGCCCCCCCCAACCCAAAAAAAAAAATAATGATAAAAAAAAGTGCACAAGAGGAATACAGGTACTGATTATTACAGAACGGTATTTCTTTAATGGCTTACAATCTCTAGTTTCACTGTTTCATTTTTACTTACTGAAAATGGGGAAAATTTAATAAGCGCCCAGCCTTGAATAAGTGCCCACCCTGAAAGTCCAAAATTAATCGAATAAATATGGTATATTGCACTGTTCTGGAATAACAACTCAAACTTGAATAATCAAAGCGATGTTTTTTGTTTTGTTTTAGTCGCACCTGTCCAGTCTGTCGACACCCTCTATACAGCCCAGCTCCTGGATGAAAATCTCTGTTGAAGTACTGTCAGAGAAAAGTGGCAGGACATCACCACATGAAAATTACAAAATGCTCCAAATGGAGTTCTGTAGTGATGTTGATTTTGAGAACAGTTCTTTGAGGCAGATCACAAGCATAGCTGTGGAATCCATGAAGTAATTAGAAAATAACAGCCTGGTGAAGCCTATCCAGTGAAAAAACCAAGTAAGTTTGTCTTGTATTAGAGATAGTTTATAGTAGAGGCATAAATACAGCATGATACCTGTTGTACAGCTAAAGAGAAATCACAGTGGGATGGAACCAGTCCCTTATAGTTTGTTAAATATTTGCAACCTCCCACTGTGTGAGCAAAATTGTTAGCTTGAGAATCTATACAGTAGAACCTCAATTTAACAAACTTCTATACAACAAAGTCGTTGGTGAAACATACAATAGTTTTCAGCCCAGCTAAATTAAGTTACCGTGAAATGTATGTGACAGAACCTTGCTATAAGGAACCTCAATATAAACAAATCCTCTTTACAGCAAAACACAATCCAGAAGCCCAAACATATACAGATATCGGCTGATATTTTGAACAAATGTCGACACGTGACAAAAGGCAAATGCAAAACAAACCAAGAACAATGAAAATCCTCATTGGAAGAATTTTTTAATTAACATTTTGACTAACAACTTTAGTACAGTAGTCTGTCCAGTGCAGTACTGTACAGTGGTTGTCTTTCCACAAATAAGTTGAGAGGAGGTTTGAGGTTTTCGATATAATGGACTCTTAATATAATGAATCAATTTCCCCAGTCCCTTGGCACTTTGTTAAAATCGAGGTTCCACTGTAGGCATGTTTGTAGTGTATTGTACTGGAAGTGTGAAAAGGTTGTGTTTGTAGGCATCCCGTGAGGCCTAGCGAAAGTTGTTGTTGTGGTACTGGTTGGCTGCCATGTGGATAGTGTGTGGATTAAAGTATTGAAATCAAAGAACATCGAAGGTTTTTATTGCCGTATATCCAAATATCATGATGTTCATTACTTCAAAGTACACAAATCAATTCCATTGCTGTGATTTTCCCAAAATATGATGATTTAATGAGAGGAGTAATTTCTTTTTTCAATTTTGTGTTTTAGTCCTTCCCTCTCAGTGTGGATGCAAGTTTTACAGTCCTTTGGGGGACTGAAAATTTGATTGGTGATGTGTGACAATTATTTACTTCTAAGACATTGACCACTTTCATAAATGGCTGCCGGATTGATATTCTTTTGCTTAAATTTAAATTAGCCTTTCTGGCCACGCTTGAGATAATGTATTCTTTTGAATTTTGTACTAGAGAATGAGGCCAGAAAGGCTAATTTAAATTTAAACAAAAGAGTATTAGTCCGGCAGCCATTCATGAAAGTGGTCTATGCCATATTACTTTGCCTGAACTGGAATAAGTCAAAGTGTGCACAAAGAATTCTTTGTTAGCTCTTCAACTCACAGAAGTGATTGACCTTCAACTCCTCCCTACGATATTTATATGTTTTCTGGCAAACAAGTAAGGAGAATACCAAAAGTTATCAAGTTAAGTTTTAATTTTGATCTAGCTAGCACCAAACTCTAATAAGGAGATTACAAGGCAAATAATTATGTAGCAGCTGAGGGGGGGAGAATTAGCAATCAGGTCTTGTCAGTTTAAGGGTTGAGGAATTGATCAGCTGTTAATTTGTTGTGTCAATCAATAAGGAGGCCATAAATTTACAAGTTAGAGATGTACATTAATGGTACAATCAGAGAGGGTTCAGAAATTCAGATTTTAGAAGCCAGTAAGCCAAAAGGTTACATTTGTGTGTTTGGCTTGTTAGCATTATTTAGATAAGCAAAAAACAAAAAAACAAAAACATTGAATTGCATAAAAGCGTTTATGTTTGTTGTTTTTTGAAATTTTTCAGAATGACATCTTTTATTCCTAGGTATGATTAAATTGTATATATATTTATTTGAATATTTCTATTTATTGAAATGAAGATGAAAGTGAATTAAATCAAGTTCTTGTGGCATTTCTAGGGTTATTTAATGGTTTTGGCTTTATGTAAGTGTTCATATTTCTACACTTCAAAGAACCAAATCAATTAATTAAAAATTGATACAAGGTTCCTTCACCCTATATTTACTTTCGTAATAAACGGTTCGCTTGCCATTATCATCCAATTTCTTCACACATATTTTCGCATAAAGGATTGCGTGAAATGTCTTCTGACATGAGCGGCTTTTCGAGGCTTATTCATTTGGCTTTTTCACTGGCCTTCGTTTTCAGATTAAAATGATGTTGTACACAAGTCACCTTCTAGGTATGATTTGACATTCTTGACCGCTTCATTTAAAATTTAGAAAGTAGTTGCTTCCATCCTTTCTTTCTAACTGAAAAGTTCTATGCATGATACTTTACGAGAGAAATACTTTGCACAAAAGTTTGTGTTATTGATTGAAAGTCTGACCTAAGCCGTCCACCC